CCGTAAGCTGCTGACTGGTCTTCAATCTTACAGCTGAATCTTATGTTTTTGGATCAGGACTAATGCCTGAGAGAAGAAGAAATGCTCCCTCCCAGCAGTCAGGTTTGGAGGCTGTGGGGGCCGACCCCATCTCTGCTGGACAGAAGGAGAGGGTGGTAAGGACGGTGGCCAACGCAAAGGCATGAGTAAAACTCAACCTGCGGGCTCTGCCCCAGCCCTAATCCAGTCTGCGGTGGCCAGAATCTTAGCCCCGGTGCTAGAAATTCTGGTGCAGTAGTCATCTGTTGTTGGGCCCTCAGCATCCATTTCTGCTTCATTTGTAACAGCATTTGGAGAGTTAGATGTCTCCTCACCGCGTGCCGCCCTGGGGCTCTTCCCTCCCTTGGTCTATGGGCGAACATGTGTGCACAGGACAACCATTCAGGCTCTCTCCTGGAACTTCAACAATTGCACAGAGCGAGAGGGAAATCGCTGGAGCAAACTCGTTCCGGGGGCAGAGCCCCGGGGAAGCTATTAATGACTTTCTCCTGCCCAGACCCTAGAACACTCTGGTTCTTGCCTTTTTCAAAGCCCTGTTCTCCTACATTCCACTGGATTCTGGAAGCCCCCCGGGACCCCTGCAATCACACCCTCTCTCATCTACGCTGGTTAGAATGAGGTCTGTTGTGTGCAACAGAGAACAGTTGCTCGGCTCCATCTCCCTTCTACTCCCTGTGTCTTCTTCCTCCTCTCTCTCCGTCTCACGGGAAGCAGGAAAGAGCCCTGGAATCCAAGTCAGAAACCCGAGTTTGAGTCTGGTCTCTGCCACCTCACAGCTGAGTAATCGTGTACAAACTGTTTAACCTTTTGAAAACTCAGTTCCCCCACCAAAACGTACGGATAACGCTAATTGCTCCATCAGTTTGTTGTAAGGATTAATGAGATAGCATCTAAAGGACCTAACATTGTAGTAGGATCTACCCCGGAGCAAAGGACTGGACATGTATAGGCACTGTCCTTCTTTCCTGCTCAGTTCCGCTCCCTCTCCATCACCCTCCTGTTTATTTCCATCTCCCGCCTCCTCCTTCTCGCTCTTCTTTCTTCTCTCCTCTTCCATCTCCCTCTGCTTCTCCCTCGTCTCTTCCCCATTGCCAACGCCCCACGTCCATCTCCCCCCTCCACCCATCACCATCCCTCTCACCTCCGACTCCTCCATCTCCAGTCCTCACCCTCCTGCTCTCACCACATAGCCAGCAAACTGGTGACACTCAGGGTGAGGCCTCCACTTAACCGCAAATTAACGAGTTATATGTACATGGGACACTTTTTTTTTTTATTAAAGATTTTATTATTTCCTTTTTCTCCCCAAAGCCCCCTGGTACATAGTTGTATATTCTTCGTTGTGGGTCCTTCTAGTTGTGGCATGTGGGACGCTGCCTCAGCGTGGTCTGATGAGCAGTGCCATGTCCGCGCCCAGGATTCGAACCAACGAAACACTGGGCCGCCTGCAGCGGAGCGCACGAACTTAACCACTCGGCCACGGGGCCAGCCCCCATGGGACACTTTTCATGGTGCTTTTATCAACACATCATGAGACGTCAGGTCAATTAAAAGGATAGTCTAAGATAAATAAGGATAAGGAAGGAATTCATAAAGCTGAGGGTCACTGTTTACCCTGGGGGAAGAAGACAGAACTAGAGCCAGACCCACAACTCCTCCTTGCTCTGTAAGGGGAGCCTTGTCCTAGATACTTTGTGAGAAGAAGAGGACAGGCCTGGAAGTATTCTCTACAAAGAGAAGTAAACACGCTGACACCCCGGGCACCAGGCGAGACAACCGTCCCTTTTCAGTCTGGAGTGAAGAGAGCCCGGAGCTGGCGCACACGCTGAGTAGGCTAAGGTGAGGTCGTAACGCCAGCTCCATCAGGCTGGCTCCGAGTCAGGCGGTGTGTGTGGGGCTGAACAACCCTCTCCTTTGTGCATACATCTCCTGTTTCATGCCGTGTGTGGAAAGAGGGGTCAGCGGAGCCTCTATGTGTTCCCCAGAGGGGTATGTTGTTCCCCAGACTGTAATTAGGCTTCAGGAAGTCAACAGACGGCCAACAGATCGGGGTCTGACTCAGGCTGTTGAAATGTGGAGGCAAAGCCAAGGCTGCTCTGGATTCCATCCTGCCTGTCTCGCTTGCTGTGGGCAGTTCACGCTCTGCACTCCTCACGTGGCCTCCTTTCATCTGACTTTCCTCCCACCCAACTTGAAAGCAGGACTATTTTTTTTTTTAATTTTTGGTCTTAGATAATAATTAACCATTGACTTGTCTCCACGCAGCTTCCAATAGCCTTCGAGGCAGAAGCGTCTCGGGCCGAAGTGGCGAAAGTTTCAGCCCGGTGGCCTAACCTGCTCCTCCTTTGTGCCGAGCCAGAATGCAGTTCAGATCACTCTTCCGTCAAGTGACTTGTCTTCCTGTTCAGATGCATGTGCCCAAGTGACCACTGCAGTTTGGGCCACATCAGTAGTCTTCCTGGGATTTTATATCCAATGAGGGCTGTCTGAGTGAGGCCTCTTTGTGGCCCATCTAGAGTTGTGTCTCTAACCTAAAACTTTCAAAATTGTTAAAAACCTGCATCTGAAAGTGTGGAAAAAGTTTAGGTGACCAGCGAGCCCTCAGAGAACAAAGGGACAGGGCAAGAAAGAAGAGGTCTTGAGATTTGCTTCTCAGATGCCTAAAAATCATGGCAAAAAGTGAGGTTTTGAAGGAAAACCGTCTGGAAATTAAGCTAAATTCACTCCCTAGAACAAATAAATGGACCATGGAGAGGAAACTGCCCTGATGTCCAGTTTGCCAGGCAGTCTCGGTAGGGGGCCCAAACCAGGAGAGTTAGGGTGGGCCAAGCGAGGCAGTTGCCCAGGGCGGACGGGAAGCCCTGGCCAGAGGGAGATTCAGGGCACGCATCCCAGGCACGGCAGCCACGCCAGGGCTGAGGAGGCAAGGGCAGGCCAGAAGCAGAGAGACGCACCGTTAGGTCACAGTCTGGAAAATCAGGAACGCTCGGGAAGGAAAGAGCCAAATAGGCCATAGTAATGGTTTTAGGACAAGAACTACGGATGCTGTGAGTGAATTGACAGATTCCCCAAATGCATGGTCCTGGAGCAGTTGATCTCTGGCTCTCAAATCACCAAAGACCCACTCAAGGTTTGGCTGCACATGATCTCAGTAACTCAGTCCATTAGTGGGTCCAAATGAAGCGCCAACTATATGCCCAAGGTTGGGCTAGGCACGTGAGGGATATAAGAACAGGCTGAGACCTCTGCCCTCAAGTGGCTTACAAGCTACCTCCTGGAAGTCATGCCAACCAAAGCCAGAGAAGTAAGTTCAGAGCAAGAAGTGGAGAAATAAGTGGGAGTTGAATTGTTGCATACGGATTTCTGGAAGAGAAAGGCTTGAATCAGAACACGAGGAATGGCTGTAATTTAACAACAAGGAAACTTTTTGGCCTGGGATCAAGACAGGTCAGTGTGGAAGAATGCCATGATTGATTAGTGATGTCTGCATGAGCTCAAGAATGGCAGCATCCTGCCGGCTATTCACCATCTCCCACCTCGATGATATTTAAAGGCCCTTTGATCTTTAATGGTCCATGACTAATGGCATTTGTGTTAAGATACAGCCACTCAGAGGCACTCAGAGTCCCTGTTACTTAGACTGGTCATGGGATCGGGGAGACAGGTATTATACTTGTCTGTATTTCTCACCCAGAAACCTGAGAAATTGGTTAGTCTGGTCTAGAATCCTCCCCACTGCAAACACCCTGGCCACTCTGGGCAAACAAACAAACAACCAGAAACTTCAGAAAACAACAGATGGAAAGAAAACCAAGGGAGTGGTTAATATATAATTGAGAATTTCCTTTGGGAGAAGGGCAAGGAATTCCACTGGGGAGGGCATGCAAGGGTATCTAAATTCCTTGGAATATTCTGTTTTTAAAGTGGGCTGGTAAGTGCTTGAGTGATCATTTTGAGTTATGATTTGTATGGATTTCATGCACACACGTTTTAATGTATGATGTATTTTATCCAAACACACACACCAATTCTTGGGTCAAGTAAGAGAAATAATAGGCTGGGCACGATATCTGACATCAGCTGTATCTAAATTGAGCTACAAATTCCTCCAGAGGCTCCCCACTTCTAGGTCGTAGTAGAAGGACCTGTTTACTACAAGAGTCTATCACTTCCAGTGATGGTGACAACCCAAGACTTAGAGTTGCCTGCTCTGTCACTTATTAATATACCCCAACTTGTTTACATTAATGTTATTATTTTCTTACCTGTAAAATGGGGATAGTGATTGCCTACATTAAAGTGTTGGCATGAGGTAATAGGGAAAGATGGATATCAATGCTCCAGAAAGTTGCGTATTTTATTAACAGCTGCCCATGTGGGTGTTACCACCATCTCCGAGGTTCCAGTGATGCGTTTTTGCGGCTCCTGTGCCTTCTTCAAGACTCCCAGTGTCCCAGTTCACCTCAAAGCTCTATTGCAGTCATCAGAAGAAGTCTGTGATCCTCTTCTCATTGAGCCAGGCTGCTGCTTTCCCAGAAAAAGCTTTGTCTTCTGCCACCCTGGCTGTCTGAGAAGGGACCTCCCTCTCTGGAGATTGCCCCCAGGTCCTCTATCCCTAGATGAATGGCCACCCCTGGGGCCTAGAGCCCCCCAAAACTAGGACTTTCTAGGTGACTTTTCTAGGTCGCACACTTCCTCCCTTCAGAGCCCATGCCATCCTCGCCTTACCTCAGGGTCACTGTTCTGGAAAATGTTCATCTCAGACTCTCTACACTTCCAATCCCCTTAGGAAAGCACAGAGTGCTGCTACTTTAGGGACCACTTCCCAGCTCTCTAGGAGGTGCCTGGCCATCCCCATTGACCTAATTTATTCCCATGAGGTACTGGGGATTATTATGCAAAGCCCCACTCAACCCACACGTATTAATTCTCTCTTACTGTGTTACAAATTACTCCAAAACTTAGTGACTTAAAACAAGAAGCATTTATTATCTTGCCAGTTCTGTGAGTCAGGAATTCAGAAGTGGCTTAGGTGGTGGATCAGGCTCAGGATCTGTCCTGAGGCTGCAGTCCAGCTGTCCGCCAGGCTGCAGTCATCCAAAGGCTGGCCTGGGGCTGGATGCTCCGCTTCCAGGCTCACTCACGTGGCTGCCAGCAGAAGGCTTGAGCTCCTTGCTGGCTGTTGGCTGGAGGCCTCTGTTCGTCACCATGTGGGCTTCTCCTTTTGACACGGCAGCTTGCTTCCCCCAGAGCAAGTAATCCGAGAGAGAAAGCAAGGTAAAAGCCACGTCTTTAAAAAATTTTTTCAGATTCCTCGTTGTCTTTTATTTAATATTTTCAAAAAGTCGCATGTAGTAATATTGACAAACTAGATGTTAACATTTACCATTATCTGTAGCTCAGATCAGGTGATGAGGATCTGTTGTGCACTGCAGTATCTTCTGTTTTTTAATAACCGCTTTGTTGAGATGTAATTCACATGCCATTGCCAACTGCAAACAGGCTGGCCACAACGGGCTAACAAACAAACAACTGAAAAACCTAGAAAACAACAGGTGGAAAGAAAAGTAATGGAATGATTAACATAAAGTTCAGAATTACCTTTGGGAGAAGCGAGGGGAACCCCACCGGGGAGGACACACGAGAGAATCTAGGTTCCCGGGACTATTCTATTTTTTAAGCTGGCTGGTAAGTATTTGGGTGTATGCTATGTGAATATTTTTAATATAGTCACAAGGTTGTGCAACCATCACCACAATCAATTTTTAGAACATTTTCATCACCCCAAAAAGAAACCCCATAACCGTTAGCAGTCACTCCGCATTTCTCCCTAAGCCTCTCAGCAAGAGACAACTGGTAATCTACTTTCTGTCTTTACGGATTTCCCTATTCTGGGCATTTCATATAAGTGCGATCATATGATATGTGGTCTTTTGTGACTGGCTTCTTTCACTTAGCGTAATATTTTCGAAGATCATCGTTCTGGTAGCATATATGAGTACTTCCTTTTGTTTTATTGCCGAATAATATTCCATCGTGTGGATACACCACATTTTATTTACATTCATCAATTGATAGGCATTGGGTTGTTTCTGCTTTTCAGCTTTTAGGAATAATGCTGCTATAAACATTCATGTACAAATTTTTGTGTGGACATATGTTTTTATTTCTCTGGAGTAAATACCTAGGAGTGGAATTGCTTGTTCATATGGTAACTCAATGTTTAATATTTTGAAAAACTGCCAGACTGTTTCTCGAAGTGATGGCACCATTTTACATTCCCACCAGCAGTGTATAAAGGTTCCAATTTCTCCACATCCATGCCAACACTTGTTATTCTCTCTTGTTTATTATAGCCATCCTAGTGGGTGTGATGTGATGTCTTGTTGTGGCTTGGATTTGCATTCCCCAATGGCCATGGAGGTCAAGCATCTTTTCATGCCTTTATTGGCCATGTGTATATCTTATTTGGAGAAATGTCTATTCAGTTCTTTTGTCCATTTTTTGGTTGGGTTATTTGTTTATATTATTAAGTTGTCGGAGTTCTTTATATATTCTACATACAAGACCCTTATCAGACATAATTTGCAAAAAGTTTCTTCCATTCTATGGGTTTTCTTTTCTCTTTTTCGACCAAGACTTTTGTCTTAAAGCAAAAATTTTAAAATTTTGGTTATACTCACTTTGTTTTTCCCGTCTGTTCTTTGTGCTTTTGGTATCATATCTAAGAAACCATTTCCTAATCCAAGGTCATAAGCATTTTCCCTGTTTGCTTCTAAGAGTTTTGTATATAGTTTCAGATCTCACAGTCAGGTCTTCGATCCATTTTGAGTTAATTCTTGCATATGGTGTGAGATAGGGATCCAACTTCATTCTTTTGCATCTGCACACAATGTATTTTATGACCTAACCTCATGTGATTTACCGTTATTTCTGCCATATTCTGTTGGCCGCACAGGGCAATACTGTTACAGTGTGGAAAGGACTACACATCGCCTCTGGTCATGGAGACCAGGAGAATCACTGGGCATCATCATGGAACCTGGTTCCCATACCACAGTCTTTCCATATTTGTAAATCAGGGAAATTCCTTGATATTACCTTTACTGAATAACAAAACAAGATTATGAAATATTCCCTCATCAATAAGTGGCAGCTAATTTATTCCTCTACTATTGATCGACTTTCTTTTCAGTCCTGGTAATAATAAGATCTACCATTTCTTAAGCAACTACTTTGTTCCTGGCACACAGGAACTCATTAATTCTCATTACTCATTATTTCTAATCCCCACTTATTGGGGATTAGAAACAAGGGAATTTTATACCCATTTATTGATAAAGGAACCAAAGGAGAGGTTAAATGATGTGTCCAAGGTCACCCAGCCAAGAAGCCGTAGTCAAGTTCTAGAATCTTGGTTCATGGGACTGCAGAGTCCTTCCTTTCTCCTCCCCAACCCCTGTCCAAAATCTCCCGGACGTGCTCATTGGGGCTGGGCCTCGCCTGCTTCTCTGCTCTCTCTATGCCACATCAACCTGGTTATTCTTAAAATCAGCCTCCTCAAAACACTCAGAAGTGGACACCGAGGAGCCACCAGCATGAGTTTGCACACGATCAAGATGCAGGGTTTGGGAAGTGGGTGCCGGGTTGTTGGTGGGCCCCCTGGGGTCTGCTGGGTTCAGCTGCCATTCTCGTTGCTACAGCAGCTTTCTAAGGGATTGTACCAAAATTCAAAATATACCCCAAGTCCATTTTTATTTGCATTTTATAATCTATTTTGAATAGCTGAGCTCCTTAATAGTTATCCAAAGTATATTATTTTCCTTTAAAAGCACACTTTAAAATGTTCCACAGCACCCAATATGATTTTATTACATCTTGGAATCAAATTGCTTTCTAAAATTAATGTCTAATTTTATGACTCAAGACTATCAGAAAATAAGCCTAGTTACACATTCAAAAAGTACATTGCTGGATGCTTTTACATGTGCCCATTCCAAAAGGAGGGGTGACGTGCCCCTCTCTCTCTCTCCTGCATGTCAAGGAGAGTTAGAGACTAACGGATGAGCATAGAGACAACAGGAATATTTTTGGCCCCCAAAGAAATTTAAAGCCATTTTCAAACATTAAGTTCCCTGTACCTTTTAGGGAGGATGAGATATTGCAATCTGGGGCTTTTTCACTGTTTAAGACTTGCCATTAAAAAACAGCTGCTGTTTTTCTCCTTTAAACACACAGGCAGAGGTTCTCCTTGTGCTCCAGTCGTTTCCATCCCACTTCCTAACCGCTGGGGATTTCACGTTTTAGGGAGGGGCCACGCACTGGAAATCTAGTTCACTGGCAAAGCTTCCGGGGACGCAGAAAAAGCAAACCTACCCCCAAAGTGGCTCACTCACTCTGCTGTGTTTGGTTGCTTCACGGCCCTTAGGTGACTCTCAAGTTCCTCCAGGTCAAAAAGCAAGCCTACAGCTTCTGAGGGACTAGGGCCGCCTGCCGCTCCAGGGGGCCTTTTTCAGATGCAAACACAAAGGCCTCCCTTGTTCCCAAGAGTGAGCTGCGAGGCTGGACGGCAGCAGCGTGCTCTGACCCCTGAGGAGCTGCCTGACGGCCTCCTGCCTCCCCGTCTCCCACCTCTGCCCAGGCTCCACTCCGCAGAGACATTCCCGAAATGCCCAGCACTTCTCTTCCCAGCTTAAACTGCACTGATGGCAGGAAGGGAGACGACCGGGCATGATGAACCTCCTGAAGTAGTCTTGGGGGAAAAAAAGAATCAAATCTGAATCTGATGACATCTCTCGCTCTAACTCCCAGTTTACAGGAAACACAGATAGAGACACGTGTTAAATGACACCGTGGGCACGCAGCCCGAAAAATCCAGACTGTGGAAAACTCCCCAGAACAAATGACCAAGTTTCTTCAACAAAAAATTGCAAGGAGAAAAAAAGAGAGAGATGAAAGGGGAGCCTAGGAATTAAAACAGACCTTAAAAAGCAATTTACAACCTTTATATCCATCCTGAATCAAATAAACAAACTGTTGGAAAAAAAATTAAGGAAACGTGAACATATGACTGGATATTTGATGAGATTAAGAAATATTGTTAAACATTTTAGTTAGCTTAGGAGTACAGTGCTTATGGTTTTTTTAAAAAAGAGTCCTGGGGCCAGCCCACTGGCATAGTGGTTCAGTTTGCACACTCCGCTTTGGTGGCCCAGGGTTCATGGGTTCAGATCCGAGCACGGACCTACACACTGCTCATCAAGTCGTGCTGTGGTTGCATCTCACATACAGAATAGAGGAAGATTGGCACAGATGTTAGCACAGCAACAATGTTCCTCAAGCAAAAAGAGGGGGATTGGCAACAGATGTTAGCTCAGGGCCAGTCTTCCTCATCAAAAAAAAAAAAAGAGTCCTTCTCTTCTAGAGACACATACTGAATATTTACAATCAAAACAACATGGTGTCTGGATTTACCATCAAATTAATCCAGGAAGGTGGAACAAAGTGGAGGTACACCTGAAACAAGACTGGCCACGAGTTGGTCATTGTCAAAGGTGGGACATTGAGTCCATTACATTGTTCCCCCTACTTTTGGTATGTTTGGAATATTTTGTAATAAATAATTTATTTTAATGAACAAAAACTGTTCTGATGGGTCCCCCATGGTCTATATCAACAGTAATGGATCTCGTTGAGACTCCGATGAAACAGACAGAGTCTCCTCTTAAAAAATGAAGTACACTCAGATATTTCCACACAATTTGGGAGATCACAGACTCCTGATGCCCCTTACACTTCTGGCCTTCAGGTTCAAGCATTAACCAAGGCCCTTGTGATGTGGCCCCAACTGCCTCTCCAGCTTCTCTCCACCACCTGCCACGGGCTCTGCTCACACCTGCTCCGCCATGCCTCTGCTCATGAGGCCTGTCCGTCTGATGACCCTTTCCTAGGAGGCCCACATCACGTCTCCACTCCTCTCTGTAGTTCTTCCTAACCAGCAGCACACCCACCGCCCCAGCCCTTGACACCGTGGAACGGATTCTCCCCCGACCCCGCCCTACCCTCCAGTGAGCCGCCCATTCACCAGGCCCGTGTCCTGCCCTGCGCCAGAAGCCTGGGCTCACAGGTCTGTTCCTGTCGCACCACGAGCTCCCCAGGGCCAATTCACCCTTTTCTTTTTCTCAGCTGAGCCCAGAGCTTTGCACACAGCTAATAAATGTTGGTTGAAATGAATTCAATGGAAAATTTAAAGCCCCAGGGTCAGGGGAGAGCTAATGGGATCTTGCAGCTCAAATACTACATGTCAGAGCAGGGGAATAAAACACCGAGCTCGCTGCTAGCAGGCCTTGGTCACATTTGTCCGGTAAGGAGTCCGCGTCCCGGGGTAGCAGGGGTGGAAGAGGGGGGCTCAGCCAGGTCCAGTGGCTGGCACCACCTCAGCCCACAGGGACTCTGCCCTTGATCTCAGCTGAAAGGTGAAGGCCGCCAAAGACTGGGGGCCCATTTGAGTCTCACGTCTGGTGCTTCCTTCTCTCCCCTGACAGCCTGGGGAGAAAGTGTCCGTGGGGTGTGGAGGGGCTCCTCCTTGGGCAAGGGGCAATCACACTGCTCCTAAAGGTGTGTGCAGGCTGCACACCTGACGACAGCACATCCGCCACTGCATCCCACCCGCGACCCTCCATCCCTCACACCTTCTGTCCTTCTGGGCTGCAAATAAATTCCTGAGTTAAGCCTCTTTCACCCCTTGGGGTAAATTAGTGCAATCTACTAGGCCAAGGTGAGGACTTTGCACATTCAGGAGACAGCCTGAGGCCCAAGGCTTCTGGGACTGCAAAAGCAGGACGCTGGAGAAGGGTTCAGACGGGGAACCCTAACCAGAAGAGATGGGCGAACACTAAGTCTAGGCCAGAGGGAGCGGCT